GTTCATTCTTTACGTGTGTGGATGTGCGCATCGATCCACAGCCACGCCCACACATGTGTCATCTCTGCTAGTAGACTGTGTGTTTTTGAGGATGGTCCCTGGCATATAATAGGGCCTTGATGAAGGCTTGCTGATTATTGTTTGACTTCACCTATCAGAAATCTTGAATTTTATTCAATTGTGTCTAAGAATTGTGCCTTAGACCCAGAGTTTTTATAGCAACAGTGTTATAAAGAAGACCCCAGACTCAGTTCCAAAGACTGGTGTCTCAAAGATTTTTTTATTCAAGAGGTTGAAGTGCGCGGGCACACCTCCTTTGAAGGGGAGAGTGCGCAGAACAGAAGCCAGAGCAAGCTTTATAGCTAGTAATTGCCTGTCTCCTCCCTTCTGGATCCTAATTAGGACCCTTCTTGGTCCTAATCCTTCTGGGTTACAATCTTCTTTATAAGCCCTGTTCACATGTTTTACATACATGTGATCCCCACCCTTAATATACATTTTGTGCCTAGATTGTGTTGTCGCTCCCCTCCCCACCTCCCCCGGGTGGAGAAGTTACCCTGTCTGTGCTGATTTCTTATCTACTTATATGGAAACTTAACTCTTTTATTTCTCACAGCAGCAGCTCATGTGTAGTGAGCTTTAGGCTTTACAAGTCTCATTCTGTACACTTTCATTTGATCTTCACAGTGACTCTAGAAAACGGATGCCTTTATTATCCTTACGGTGCAGATGACCCTGCCCAGGGTCACCCTGCTAGTGAGTGTCTGAGGCGGGGTTTGCCCCAGAGTTTCTCCCACCTCCAAGTCTGTCCCCCCGACTTGATCACAAGGAACTTTCCTGCTGGAGCCCATGCAGTTATGACAGGGTGCAAAGCCTTCAGAGTCCTGCCATTCTCCAGGGCAGTGCTCTCCATGCCTGGGAGTAGGAATGGGGTGGCCTTAAAGCAGGATGCTCCCCACGGATGAGGAAAGACCATGGCATGGAGAAGTCCCTGGCTGTGGGCCTCCCATGACCAGGCCTGACTGGACGAGACTGGGAACCAGGCAGGGAAGGTGCATCAGAGGAGGAGGCTGAGTCACCGGTGAGGCCTTCAGCCAGCTCTGGCTGGCACCAAGGCATATAGAAGCCACCCTTTGATTACTGACTGTTCCACCTGCTGGAGGGGTGGACCAAGGGAGTAGAGACTGGAGAACAGCCCTTTTATCCATGAGTCTAGGATTGGGATTATAGTCCAGTGGGCCTCAGAATTACCACCCACATACACAGAATATGGAGGCTTGAGATACAGAAGCGACCAAATTGGTCAGGGCCAAAGTGTTAAGCCTTTTGTGTGCTGTGATCAGGAGGGCCACCAAAGGAGGTCTCTTGGGAATCCACGTGATGCCACTAGTGAAATGGCGCGTGAAACCCTTGACAAGATACTGTGTGTTATTCCCCTGTGGGGGCCTGGTCTACTGTCTGCTGACAGTGCTTAGGTATCAGTAACTAAGGATTATGCATATTCTGTAAGCCAGTGGTTTAGAAACAGGCCACTGAATTACATATTAACATTATTTGTTTTTTAAAAAATGTTTCCCAGTTACATTTTCATCTGGTGTGGCAGATGAAATGGAGTGTGGCAGGCTGCCTGTGTGACTTTGTGGTGAGCCCTGCATGCACATACTGTTACATACGTCCACATCTGCGGGATGGATGTCATTAGTGGATGAGAGGAAGGGCTGTGTCGGGGTTCTCCCCAGGAACATAGGCTGGGGCGGGGTTTGACTGTGCCTTTCTCTTCTGCATACATGTCTTATTACTTCACTAGTATTCCTGCCTGAGGTCTTTTAGTGTGTAGGGAGCCACTCACTGCACCCCTGGGCCTGAGTGAGCCCGTGAGAGTTGCGAGGCTGTGACCCCATGTCAGGACATAGGCCCTGAGCAGAGACCCTGAATGGAGGTTGCCTGAGGAAAACTAAGTGAAGAAGAAAATGCCTTTTGCTACCCTGCACCGTGGCTTTGAACAGCCAGACCATTAGCTCAATGTTTGGGTCTGATGCCGCAAGTGGGCAGTGGGCCCAGCCCCCAACTGGCAGGTTGGATTGCATTTGCAAGCTTTTGGAGTGTGTTTAAACAGGGCGCCAGTGCTCCCTCGGGTGAAGATCCCTCTTTTCACCCTGAATGTCCCTGGGGCAGTGCACTGTGATTGAGAATCTTGAAGGGAGCGAAGCTGCATGGGACCCCCAGGGCAGGCAGGGGAGGGATGCCTGGTGGACAGCACAGAATGAGCCCGTTTCCGATGATGCTGAGGCCGGCAAGGAGTCCAAGGGCTGTCCCTAAAGAAAAGAAGGTGGTGGGCTCTGTCGAGAGGGCTAGCTGCTTACCCACCCCTGGGTGGTCTGGGGCAGGCCACTGGGCTCCTCTGAGTCTCCATTTCCCCCACTTTTGGGTAAAAGGGCTGATTTCTTCTCTAAATCAATAATGCCAAGCCAGGGGTAACACAGGGACAGGTACACGTGCTCCCGATACCCCCAGGGTAGCAAAGAGCGCGCGCCAGCGTCCAGAGTTTGAGTCTGTGGCTAGTAGCTAGTAGCTGCTGGCTGTGTCTCCGGAAGCTTTACGGAGCAGCGCACGTGAGAATCACTTAGCTCGAGAATGAGTCGTCATCTGCGCTGGCGGAGAGAGCGCCACGTCGAGGAATCCTAGGGCTGCCGGCGTACTGACGTGGCCTCAGCCAGGAGAAAATGTGAGGTGAGGGGGAATTTCCCAAGCATCCCAAAGCCCGCGCTTTGGGGGCTTTGCCGAGCAATTAATTGTACTTGAATTGGTGCCTGAGCAGCTTCTAGCAGTGGCCGTCAGGATGGCTTGAAAAGGGGGTTTAACAGAGTATCCGTTTTGGAAATATATTTGTGGGGATGATCCTGTAAGCCAGCAGGTCGAACTTCAATAGAAACAGTTTCTAAACCTCACAGAAGCATCCCAGCCCTGCAGGGCACATACTGACTTAGAAATTCACCTATTCGTAGTATCTGTGTTCTTTTGTATCTTTATTTATTTGATTCAGTGTTTCCCAATCGCACCTTAACCTGGTTTCCCTGATCTGGGTGTTGGACCCCTCCTTTGTTCAGTTCACCTCCTCTTTCCTGTAGCTCTGGTGGCTTATACCCTCCATTTGCTGGATCTGATTTCATCCTGTTATCTTCTTTGACCATTGAAGGAAACTGGGAAATAATAGGGCATGACGCACGTGACATGTTTGCATGTTTTGGGGTTGCGCTGCTAGACTCTGATGCCTGGAGTGTCGGGACGAGCCTTGCTCGCGGGGCCACCAGCGTTCAGGATCTTGTGATGTTGTGTCAGACGTCTGCAGGGAGACCAGCTGCAGGTTTGGACCAGCTGTCCTTGGCCTGAGACCTGGCAAAGCCAGGGAACTTTTGTTTTCTCCTCACCGCCTCTTCCAGGGGGTGAGCTTTGGTTAAACTTATCAGGTGTTCACAGATGGCCCTTACGAGCAAAGAAATGTGGTGTATTTGAAAGATAAAAAGGAAAAAATGAATATGGAAAGAGCTTTCAACCTAAGTAATCACAGTGTGAAAATGGGGTAAAGTATCGACTTTTTATTGTCAGCATTTGCTGATTTTACACTTAAATACCTTTTCTTATTGGCAAAATGAGGTTTCTGGCTTGCTTAGATGGGCGTTCAAGTCTTTCCCAGTTCAGATTTCAGGAACTCTTTCCTTTTCCTTCTGCTGCAGTGGCGCTTAACAAGCAAAGATCTCTTTACTTACAAAGAGATAAAAGCAAATGTAGCTCTTTGAATTAGATTCATTACATTTTGAATTTTGTTAACTTACAGGACCTATTTGAGGATTTTTAAGCCATGAACAGGTTCTTCCTCTGTCCTTCCCCCCCCCCCTTTTTAGTGAGGCAATGGGGGTTAAGTGACTTGCCCAGGGTCACACAGCTAGTAAGTGTCAAATATCTGAGGCTGGATTTGAACTCAGGTCCTCCTTGACTCTAAGGCCGGAGCTTTATCCACTGTGCCACCTAGCTGCCCCCCAGGTTCGTCCTCTCCTGTGATCTATGCAGTATCATTCTGTCTTGTAATCATGTTGACTATAGACACACTTTTGACCTTCCTCTGAATTTCTGCAGAGATGAGGTGAGGTCCTTGGGGAAATCTTGGTGATGAGGATCGTACACTAGGGATGTTAGCCATTTTATTATTACTTTTAAATTATATATATATTTTTAAAAATATCGCCTTCGTTTTCAAATCTTTTTCTCCCCAGAGAACTTTTATTTGTTTAAAGCAAAACCAAAAAAGAGTGGAAAAGCACTTGAGCAAAGCTAAGAAAGCAGTGAGCTGGGCCTGGGGGCATCAGTAGCGTTCAGCACCCAGGGCCATGCGCCTCCCAGTGAAAGAAAGGGAATACATTTTTTCCTTGCTTTTCTGGCTAGCCATTCATTACTGATTGGCTCGAGAGATATTCAGTAATGTTGAACTTATTGCATCAATCATCTCTAAAGGTCAGAGCTTTAAAAATAAGTTAGAAAGTTAGAAAATGCTGATTTTCTTATAGAAGGAGTGGGAAATACGAGGTCGGTTGATAATAGTGATATGAGGCTCTATTTAATTTTGGATGCGGGTGAGCATTTGGGTGCTTTCTTTAATTGCTGAAGGACCTGTGGAAGGCGGTGGTCCTTGATTCTATAATCCTACAAATTATTAGGCTACAAGTTGGTGTTGTACGTGTCAGGCGTGTCATCCCCTGCCCGCGTATTTTCTGGTTCTGATTTGCTGCGCGGTATTAGATCACAGAGATGCTGAATTACAGGCAAGGCAAAGGAGCAGAAACACCAAGAGGTTTCGCTTTGGCCCATGTGGGTTCAGATTCTGCACCTGCTGCTAAAGACCTCCCTGCCTGGGTCTGACCTTGGGCAGAGTCTGTTGGGTTTTCTGGTCCTCAGGTAACTGTCAGTAAAATGGGAGTTTGGGGAAGACCATGACAAAACCCACATTGAATTTTCAAAACTGTATTTATACATGGATACATACAGTGAAACCCACTCCAAAAGAGACATATCTAACTTGCACTACGACATCTTCTTACAAAAGGATAACTGAAGAGTTGGTGGTGGTGAGACTCTGTTGGTCCCTCGGGCTCCCCGGCGTGCTTGGCTGGGGTAGATGTCGCCCTGGTGGGGCCAGGACCTCAGGACTTCTCCCTCTGCCCCTTCAGCGGAGCTCGGAGGCTTTGTGCCAACATGCTGTCTTGGGTCTGTCTGGCATCCCCCCCCCCGCCCCGGGCGGACGCTAAACTACTTCGGTGTCCCGCCTCCGGATGTTGTCCATCATGGTTCTCAGGGGGCTCGGCTCACTCTCCAGGTCGCTCAGGGTTTTATCTTTGGCGCAGCAACAGCAGTCGAGCACCTCGTAGACGAAGGCCAGGAGCATCAGCGAGACGACTGTGAAGATGAAAAGAAGCATGATGACGAAGCACGCCGTGTTCCAGTTATCGTGGAAGGGGTATACCTGTTGGACCTGGAAGCCGATGTACCGGTGAGCCGATGTGGTGGTCGGCGGGCTGCTGGTGCCGCTCGTCTCGTTCCAGAGAGTGGCGTGCAGGGTGGCTGTGCTTACCGACGCCATGGCACGTGATTGGTCCAAGTGAGGCTAGAGGGGGAAAAAAAGAGAAAAAGAAAATGTACGGGAGTGACGTGTGTGATGCAGATATAAATGTGTCAGTGTGGAGAATGCAGACGAATGTAGGTTGTAAACCACACTCTGGGATTTCTAATGAACTCCAATTGGCAGTCAGACGTGAGTGTGTGTGTGTGTGTGTGTGTGTGGTGTGTATACTCATGATAGGTACAGATATGATAGTCACATGCAGAATGGTTAAAGAAAAGGCAGCTGAATTAGTAGTGAACAGTGGTGAAGGAACTGTGTGACCTGTGAGAAAATTTACCATTTTAAAAACATTGTGCCTTTGCAAAAAGCCTGTTAAGGATCCCTGTGCGCCTTCCTGCTTGGCTTTTGCTCTCCCTGGTTACCTCTATTATGTGCCTCTGGGACTGTAGCTTTCCCTGTACCCTTTGCTACTGGGTCAGAGGATCTGGGTCAGGAGGACAGTGGTTGAAAGGCAAAAAATAGAAAAAAACAGCAGCAGCAGTGGCCTTCTGCAAGGATGACATAACGCTGGGGTGGTTGCTAACTGTAGCTGTCAGCCTCTGTGAACAGAGTTCTATAGCTGGTGTGGAGGTTAACTGGTGGTGGTGCTTAGAAAAACCTGGGGAAGTACCTTTCAAAACAGACAAACTCAGGTCCCCAGAGGTCTCATTTGTTTCATTTATTACATTTCTGTTCCAGAGCACCAACTGATATTTAGTGTCTAAAAGAATTAGGAACTCCCTGTTCTGTCTAGCGTGCATCTTGGAGCCTCTAGACGATGTCTTCTCAGGCCTTTGGCAGGGACAGTAAGGAGGCAGGCCTGAGATTATGGAGACCCACGGCCCCAGCCCACGAACTCCAAGATAGCTTCAGCATTTCCCTCTCCCGACACGCAAAGGCAGAACAGTTTTGGCCACACTCGGTGGACAGAAGGACAGAATTGCAAAGTGACATCTGTGCCTTGTCAGCTGGAATGCCCAGGTTGTTGGAGTGTTGAGAACATGTCTGATGTGTTTAAACAAAGTGTACAAGTAAACCAGTTTTTGTCCTTGCCTGTTGTGATCAAGTGAAACTCCCTTATTTAACGAGTCACTTTTTCTTCCCCTGTTAAGCTTGTTCCCTCCTTTTTTTTCAAAATTAAGTGATGATTTGGGTCCCACCTCTGACCTGTGAACCAAAAGCAGGCTTTTTGTTTTGCTTCCTTTCCTCGATGGGGTCAGCGGCCTTTGAGATTGTCCCTGTTAACATGACACATGTTCCGTGACACTGCTCTCTCCTACTTCTCCCCCACTTCTTCATTGGCTCCTTGGTTTCTTTTGCTAGATCTTTCGCCAGGTCATGCCCCCTACCTGTATGTGTCTGGACCCCCTTTTCTTCTCCCTCTGTATTATTTAACTTGGTAATCTCATCGGGTCTCACAGATTCAGTAATCATCTCTGCAGGTGAATCTTGGAGCTCACTGTCCTTACCTCTTAGAGATCTTGACCTAGATGTCCTGTAGACAGATCTCATTCTTGTCTTTCCTCTCCAAACTCTCCCCCACTTCCACACCGCCCCTTTGGTGTCGAGGACACCCCCATCCTTCCAGTCCCCCAGGCTTGCAAGCTAGGTGTCATCCTCCATTCCTATCCCCTCTTGCTCCCCATTTCCAATCTGTTGCCAGGTCCTGGTGCTTGCGCCTTTGCACCATCACTCGAGTATGCCCCCTTCTCTCCTCTGACACCGCCTCACTGCCACCCACCCCCTCTGGAGGGTGCCTTTAAGATCAGATAGAAAATCTTCTGTCCGGCATTCGGAGACATCACCTTGCCGACAGAGGTGCGTGGGATCGAAGCTGTGGTTTTTCTCCTAGCAGTGCATGGAGGTAGACTGCAGGGAGAGCTGAGCGCCACAGAATCAACACTTGTGAATTGTGGTGCTGGAGAAGACTTCTGAGAGTCCCTCTGACAGCGAGGAGGGCAAATGAGTCAACGCTTCAAGAGGTTACCTCGGGCTGTGCAGGGGAAGGATAAATACTGAAGCTTCCGTCCTTCGGCCACATCACGGGAAGGCGGGACTCACTGGAAAAGAGCCCGAGGTTGGGAGAGATTGAAGGCGAAAGGAGAAGGGGCCGGCCGGGGACGAGATGGATGGATGGTGTCCCGGAAACAACGCGCATGAACCTGTCCAGACTTTGGAGAGAGTGGAGGGCAGAAGGGCCCGGGGTCCTGACAGACTGAGCAGCAGCGAGCCTCGGGTCAGCCCCTGTGTTCTTACACTTTACTCCGCTCTCCAGGTTCTCCACTGCAGTGACGTTGGCCTAGGAGTAGCTCCACCTCCCACCCCCGGCCCCCCTGTCTCCTCACCTCCACCTCTCGGTTTCCCAGGCGTCCTTCGGGACTCAGCTAAACCATCACGTCTACGTTAAGCCTTTCTAACCCCCTGAATTCCAGGGCCTTCCCTCTAAGGCTGCCTCCAGCTTCCCCCATTTCGACCTTGTATAGACTCTAGTTTGTATAGACTGGGATCTCCTTGAGGCCTGAGATTGTTTTTGTCTTTATTTGTATCGCCAGCACTTAGTGCCTGGCACATAGTAGGTGCTTCGTCATTGCTTGTTGACTGACGGCCTGAAGACTCATCAGAGGGAGTTCCCTTCCTGGCCATTTCAAGGCCTGTGGTTGTCCTCCAGCTGACCTCCTCCCCCTGGAGCCTGGACTCTGGCAGGGGAGCTTTGGCCTCAGCTTGCCTGAAGCCGGGCCTGGCCATTTCTAAAGCGTGCCTTCGTGCTCACCACCTCCCTCCTCAGTCCCCTCGCGTGCTGCCTTTCCCCAGTAGAATGGAAGCACCTTGAGGTTAGGAGCGCTCTTGCTTGCCTGTGTTTGTATCTCAGCACTTGGAACAACGCCTGGCACACAGTAGGGCCTTAATAAATGCCTTTTCTCTACCCATCTCCCTGCCGCCCCACTTCCCTTTCTTCTGCTACTGTCTGCCGGCCTCAAATCCATTGTAAGAGCTTCATTCTGCAGGACTTTGTATTCCTCGTACCTGTTAAAATGCAGATATCCTGATTGGGTGATGCTGGAGGTTATAATTCAGGCCTTTAGCTTAATTTATCCTATTTGATAACCTATTTGCACCATACTGTGCTAGCCACTTGGGCATAAGAAGATGGCATAGCCCCCCAGAGATCTTGGGGGGCGCGGCGTATGTTGTGTGTACAGATGAGTCCGCAGCAGAGGAAATCCTGGCCTGGTGCTCTGAGAGCAAGCACTTGAGGAGTGGAAGGGAGGCCACTTGAGGGTGGGGTTTTGGGAAAGGCTTCATGGAGGAAAAGAAAGACACTCGGTGCGTGTGCCCCAGAGTGGTGGAAGTGTCCCCAAAGGACCAGGAAAGCCACCTTAGTCGGCTTGTCTGGAATAGAAGGGAAGAAAAGCAGGGCCAGAGGCAGCAGGGAACCACGGGTGGCTTCTGCAGGGAGGGGAGTGGTGCGCTTAGAGCCGCTCCTAAGAGAGAGATGGATTGGAGAGGGCTGAGTCTGGAGATGGGGGGCTTGTGTAGACAGAGGAGGCTGGCTGGTGGAATGCAGAGGGCAGCTGAGGCTGTGTGTGGCACCAGAGAGGGGAGCCCCAAAGGAGGGAGCGGGGCTCTCTGATGAGCCTGAGGGACTGGGAATGATGAGGCCTTGGAAGTTTGGGCTGCTGGGCAGGGGAGGATGGCTGAGTGTGGACGCCACTGAGGCTGCATCAAGCTGCCTCTGCCTGGCAGGCAGGTGGTCCATGGATGTTCAGAGCAGGGTTTTGTGAGGCCGAGGAAGGAAATGAAGGTGCTGGAGGTGATGCAGAAAGTGGACGAGAGTTGTACCAGGGAAGGGATTTGGGCCCCTGCTCTTTCATTTTGCAGGGATCTTCTAGCTTCCCAGAATTCCTCCCCAAGTCTGTGCAGGTCTTGTCCCTGGTGATTCTTCAAGATTGTGTGCTTCCAAAGCTGGAGACACGGGGTTCTGGATTCTTTCAGATAATATTGGGGAATTGAGGGTCAACTACATAGTGATTCCAAAGCCATTCCCTCTGCCTGTCTTAATGAACTGTAACTTCCGAGATTGTCAGAGCACTAAGGAGATCTTATCACTCCCCTCTGTGCCAGGGGAAACAGGCTAGAGTCTGAAGCCCAGGGCTATTTGCCTTCTACCTGCTGCTTTTGGGATGGGAGGGGAGAAACCAAAGTGGTGGTGATGGTGCTAAAATTACGTTTTTATTATATTACTGAAAATTAGAAAGATCCTCTTTTGGACTGGTCAGATAGTTTCCCTTTTGAAAATAAGAATGGTTTTTGGTTCATTTGAGGGATTGCAGGTGAGAAATGAGCAAAGAGTAGGTGTGAGCTGCTTTGGGGGCTTTCCCCTTCAGTTTGGGGAACCCATCGTTGGCACACCCTAACGGCTGCCTGGTGATTCCTGGGCCAGTGAGGCCACGGCTGCCCCATGAATGGTCACCCAGCCTGCTGGCTCCTGGCACTTGCCTCTCCCAACCCTCTGATCAGGGTCCCCTGATTGCTCTCTGTATCAAATTAAAACTTCAGGCTTCAATGACATTAACAGCTATTGAGTGCCCATAGAGGGTAGCCTGAGAAAGCACAAAATCACACTCGGAGCCAAATAGGAATTGACCTTTGCACAACCATTTTGGGCCATTTATATTTTTGTTACCCTCCATTAACGCTGGTAATTGAGTTTATTATATTGGAATTTTATCACATCAGCTACTGTTTGAGGTAAGTGGGCCGTGGGCTGCTGCTTGGAAATGTTTGTTACGTCGGTGTTTTCACGATAATGGAAGCCTAGTTATTATTAGATAGAGAGAAAAATCAGGGTCCCAGTGTCTGACCTCTGACCCAGAGGCTGCAGAAAGGAAAACTTGTCAGTCTGTCGGATCTGGTGAAATAACTTCTCTCCAGCTTCCCAGAAGGGGAAAAAGAATTATTTTTCTTTTAAAAAATACTTGATGAATGTCTTGCCTCAATGCCCATTTAATGTCTGGTTATTTCATACTTAGATTCAGTGTGGCCTTAGGCCTTGAGAATTGAGATTAGGCTACTTGGGACCCAGGTGGAATGAACAGATGCTAATCCCTGGTCGTGGATTACACATAGTGGGCTGTGTCTGCCCATTGTTTTGTGAGGTTTGTGAGGACGGCTCTGATTTCTGGGAGGGGCAGATTGGGGGGGGCGAGGTTGTCAGATATTCCTACTGGGAGGGGATGTAAGCATGCACTGTGAGAGGGGTTGCCTGGAATAGCAGTGACATTCAGACACTCTCGGCTTCCAGCATCTTTCAAAGTATTGGGAAAATAGAATCTTGGAATGGAACATGCAAGGCATTACCTCCTTACAGTGAGATCTCTTGCAAAGGAAGACAAAGTAGTCATACGTTAACTAAAAAACCTGGGTCAGAAGACACGTTCACATTTTCTGCCTCAGATTTGTTTTTGGAGGGGTGGAGTCTGGCTGATATAATATTGTCATACATATAGGTATGTGGTGTGTATCAGACTGTGCATACATACATACATACATACATACATACATACATACATACGTACATACACACATACACACACCTGCATATGTACCCAAGGCTTAGGGAACAGCTTGGGGATGTGGGCATGGGCATGGGCATGGCTACAGCTACTACTGCATGTGCTTAGATCACAATTCCAACTATGTTGTAATCTCTCCTCCCTTCCCTGCAGTCCTAGGTAGGGAACACTTGACTGCCTTCCCTCTTTTGTCTGAAGTAACGCTTTAGTAGCTCCCTGTGTTAAAATGTGGTGAGGCTGGAAAGATTTTTCTGGAAGGATTTTTCAAGCTCTTAAAACATTTTTGTGGGCTTTAAGTTACTATGAAACACATTGTGTGCGACACTTTTTGTGGTTGGAACGCACTTTGTCCATATACTCTGGAACACAAATTGTGTTTGTTGGAAGGAGAACGGGGTAATTAGTGGTTTGATTTAATTTCCTATTTCTTACGAGTTGGTTTGAAGGAATAACTTCCAGGATAAGACTTAAAAGATATTTTAAAGAATTTTAGCTTGTATCTTATACATTTCTTTGATATTTAGAAAATTATTTAGAGAAATTATTTAGAATCGTTATTTTTGATAATTAGTGGTAATTTAATATTTTAAAACACTTAATTTTGCTGTGATGGATTAGGTAAAATCTGACAGGCAAAACAGAATTATGTCATTAAGAATTTTTTTCATTTTTATTTCTCAAATTAAAATTTGAATATGGTACATTTAAAATAAATAATATAAAAAGTAGTCTTTAAATTTTTTCAAAACAAACGATTCTTTACTAGCCTTTCTTTCCCGTCCCCTTTTGGGTCTGGGGGATAGGAGAGTCACAGCTGATGGTATAGCTTTCCCTCTCCTCCTTGGAACCTTTCTAGCATTTCAAAATGCCTTGGCAGAATATTTCCATAGGGAGGGCAGGGTCATCACACAATGGCTGGGACAGACAGGCTCTTGAATAGAAAACAGTTGAGCTGACTTTTCCTTTGCGTTGAAGGATGCTGCTTTACATTTCTTATTTTATTTTTTTCAGTTATCAAGTATTTATTTTTTTCTCCCCACCTCCCTTTGCCCACTGGGCAAGAAGAAAAAGAAAAACAAAAGCCTCATAACACCAAAAGCATAGTTTAACAAAACATCCCCATATTGGCCATATCCAAAAAGACGTGTCTCATTGTGTGTGTGCTCCTCAACCTCTCTGGCAGGAGGGGGATCGTGCTCGATGAGGGTGTGGATGAGAGTGTTCCGTCTGCTCTAACTGTCGTTGTTACAGTGTTGATGATATACTTCCCTCTGCATCTGTCCTCAGAAATCTTCCAGATTTCTCTGACACCATCTCTTTTGTCACTTCTTAGAGTACAGTACTGTTCTCTGTATCCTAATTGGGTCAGCCATTTCCCCATTAAAGGGCAGTCTCTTCGTTTCCACAAAAAGATGAGATGTCTCTTTGAAAAATAATTGATCAAGTGGGCAGTGCTGCAGTCTTTGGTGAGAAGAGAGATGGAGTCTGGACTAAACTGAGTCACTGTGCACTTCATCAGCTAGGGGCAGGGGAAGCTTATTTCCTTTCTTTTACCTACATTTCAGCAGGTTTTGAAATGGCAAAATGAATCTTTTTCTGGTCTTGATTTTTTATTTATCAGCACTTTTATTTTCCTAAGTTCTCCTGTGGTTTCGGTGAGAGTGTTTCTTGTGTTATTTGGGGCCTTTATGTATCTACTGCCCTGACTGTTTTGTGATGGGCAAGAGTGCTTGCTGGGCAGTTTAACCCTGAAAAGAGAGATCTGGCTTCCAGATCTGGCTCCTCGACGAACAGGCCATTGGCTAAGTAGCTGAATGTACGTCTTTGTTCCTTGGAGGGAAAAGTAGATGGGAAATTTCCTTTTCAAATAATTTGGCAATGAAATACAACTGGGTTCCAATTAGTGCAAATAATGAATGCAAAGGTGTTTGCATATATTCGAATTCACACTGTAGGAAGTTGTAATTATGTGAAATATTGTCATTAGTTCCACCCCCATGGAAATAATGCAGTATGGATTGGAAGAATGGGACCCCTTCATAGGACCAAGTCATTATTTGCACTAGTTGAGACCTAGCTGTAGATTTACTGGGGAAGGGAAGGCAAGGCAATGGTTGGGTCATTAATTTTATTTTTTTAAACACTAACCTGAAGCTATAATGTCTGCTAAACAAAAATGATTTTCATGCTCCAATAAAATGGAATTAGAGCTTTTCTCAGTTACCATCAGTAATTGAATCTATCTTCCAGTCAGGCGCCATCTTCCTAAAACTCTGTTCTGATACTGTTATCCCCAGCCCCCTGTTCCATAGACACCAGTGGCTTCCTCCCTGTCAACCTCCAGGACCAAATAGCAGATATCTTCTGTTTGGCTTGTAAAGCCCCGCATCACCTGGCCCCTTCCTTTCCAGGCTTCTCCTCTCTTACTTCCCTCCACAGACTCTGTGCTTGGGGGACTCTCGCCTCCTGGCTGCTCCTGGCTTCTTCCCTCCGTTGCCAGCTTCTGGGCTCTTTCTCTGCCTATGCCCCAGGCAGGCAGGGCTCACCTCCTCACCTCCACCTCCTGCCTTCCTTGGCTTCTTTTGGGACTGCACTGAAATACCACCTTCTGCAAGAGACCTTTCCACCTTTCCCCAAACCCAGAAGCCCCTCCTAAGCTGCTCCTCCTCCCTTCCCTCTGGCATCACCTCCCATTTCCCCAGTCGGTCTCTTATATGTACCTTCTTGTTAGCATGTTGTCTCTCCCATTAGACTGTGAGCTTCTGGAGGACAGGGGATGATGTTTTTTGCCTTTCTCTGTATCCTCAACCCTTAGCACCCCCAATGCCCACCCCGGCTTGTCACACAGTAGGTGCTTAATAAAACCTTATTGACTGCTTGGTCATTTGGAGGCTCCTGTTTTCTTGAGCCTTACTGTAGTACTGAGAAGGATGCAGGACCTTCCCTTCCATAAGTGACCCTTGTGAAGACATTCTTCAGTTTTCAAATGTAATTTTCTTTTTATTCCAGATGGTCAGTTTAAGAACAGTCTCATCCATCCCTGTACCCACATGATGTGAAGGATGTAAAATGATTGACTTGTTCCCTTCCCCCTTCCCCCCTAATAAGAATATGCATTCAAGGTCTTTATATAATAATAATCTCTGACTTGGATTATGCAGTTAGAAACAAAATTATTTTACCTAAATGACAGAATGGTCTAAAGCTTGTATGGGTTAAGTTACAACGTAATGCACCTCTTAGCTCTTTTGTCTGTATTATGCTCAAAGATGGATTGTATTTTCGTATTCGTCTTCCTGTTTTATTTTTTAAAATTTTCTACAGGTAGCAAACTTTGGGTTTTTTTAGCGTAATATAATTTGTACATATCAGAAATCATCTTTCAGCAGTATTTGCTTTTAGTCTGGATTTTTCTTCAAGGAAAGCCTTTGTCAGGACAGATAATGCTGCTGAAATGAAATATCTTGCAGAAGGTGAAATTAGCAGGCAGCTGGGAAGCATCAGATCTATATTTCAGTTTACTGACCAGGGCCTGGGAGGATTAGATTTCCCATACAACGGCACGGTCATCAATTTTCTATTAAGGCACAGGGGATGAGAGAGTCGGTGCTAGACCGAGAGCCTTTGGTTTTTATTTGGAGAATAAAAGCCTGTCTTTCAGGGTAAGAAATTCAGAGCTTAAAAATACACGTTAAGAAGAATGCTTTGCCTGGTTTCTTAATAAAATGTTTTTCAGATCTATCTAGTGCTTAATTCTTCCATAATAAAAATGATAAAGACCTACCTGTTCTCGGCAGATGCTGATGGAGCTTAGGTCTGGTCTGTTGGTAATGCAGTCTGGTGCACAGTCAAGATGGAGCTGGGCTACTATTGGTCGGATGCTAATGCAGCTGACAATTGCTTTCTTGTTCATTTGCATTTAGCCTTACCGCACTCCAGAGGAAATCATTCACAGACTTAAATGATACTGTCGGGTGTACCCAGTTTTATCCCAATTTTTTCCTCCCTGTTTTTTGTTTTTGTTTTTGTTTTTTTGTCATTGAGCTTGAAGAGTGGGGCGTGGTTTTTGCCTCCTTAAAGTCCAAACAAACAAAAACCCCAGGCCCTCTCTGCATTTTAGGATCCTCTTTACTTTTCAGTAGAAAGATGAGAAAAATAAAGGACTAAATTAATGATTAGATACGTTTTTCTGACTGCAAAACAGATCTCCCCTGAGACTAGAGGAACCCTCAGGCTAAGAAAGATGCCAGGGTTGGTAAGAGCCCTGGAAAGGAGCACACAGAACTGACTGACTGAATCTACAGGTATGTGAATAAATAAATGAAGCTTGTTCCCTTCATGTGCCTGGCACAGAGATCTGACTGCTCTGCAGAAGGGGAGGGCTGGCTGCCATGTATCAGAGAGCTTGGGAGGGGTGCCACTGCTGGGGGTGGGCAGGGCCTGAAGGGAAGCTCACCCAGTTTGGACTGTGCGATCAAGGCAGAAATGAAGAAAAAAGTCTGAAATCCACACTCTTAACATTCTGATAGAAGGGCTGTCACTCTGTTGTGTTACATCTGCGAACTTCCAGAGTTTGCTTGCTGGTTGAAAAGAGTGATTTGTTGTTATTGATTACGTCCAGACTTTTATCAGCTTCTTAATTCTTTATTTGCCAGATTTTTCATTTTTGTCAAATATTTATTCTGTATATGTTCCTTTAGTCTTTTTTTTTGTATGTACTAGTTTGGTTGTGTAAAATCTATTTTTATGTAGTTGTTTCAGTCTGTTGCAAAAGTTTTGGAACTTAAAAGAATTCACTGGCCAGTGAATGCTGAAGATCTGAGGTCTTTTATTAGGCGTGCGTTTTTTATTTATACCAGGGAAGAAAACTGAGGGTGGGAGAGAGCAGAGCTGAGGGGCATAAATGGAGCATAGGAAGAGCCCCTCCTGGTGTGGCCAGTGCTCTGGGCCTGCCTCCCTGAGAGAGCTGCTCCCCACGGGTGGGTCTCCATCCAGGGCAGCTCTGGGCTGTGGTTTGATAGGGGCAGGCCTCCTTGGGCCCGTCTTTGGAAGGAACAGGCAGGCAGATTCCTGGCTCCTGGTGTCTCCCCTAGAGAAGGAGAGGTCACTGAGGGCAGGGACCAGCTTGGTTTTATCTTTGCATCCTGAATGCTTCACTGCTTCCACAGTAACCCTTCTCCAGTAACCACAGAGTTAGAGGACTTTTCAGGCTGGACTCTTGTAGCAGTGGACTCCGTAACAGAGCAGGGCAGGGGGGATGCGGGTCCCCTTTTCATTCCAGGCTAGAGGTGGTTGGGGGATTTCTTCATTTCTAGTCTGCCAAGACACAGTGAAATGATTCTGGTCCCTATGGTCTGCAAGCGTTTATTAAGCACCTACTATGTGCCGGGCACTTTGCTAGGTGCTGGGGATACAAAGAAAAGCAAAAAAGACAGTCTCTACCTTTGAGGAACTCACAGTGCATACATACACCTTTGATTCTTTCCATTCACCTCTTCAACCCTTTTCTTTTGTCTTGGGGATCGTCGTACTGAACATACTGTTTGTTCTCTCTTAGATGCTAAGCCCCATGGCCCTGTCGTTATCCTGCCTCAATTTGGGGTAGCCTGCGACACTATTGATCATTCTCTTTGTCCAGATGCCTTCTTCTCTTGATTTCTTTAAAAAAAAATTTAATTAAATTTTCTTTTTTAATCATGAAATTTTACAGTGTACAAAGAGCAAATAAAGGGGATTGAATATCAAACTAAACTTTTATATACAGTGTTTTTCTAAAAATGTCTATTAATTTAAGGTTTTAACTAAGTTACCCTGTTTGTGTCTTGAACGTTTTTATTTTCTCTTGAATATTTGTAGATATTTTATCGATGCTTTTTTTCACCGCAAACAACCATTTCTTCCTCCCCTAGATTCCTATCCCTTGTAACTAATAACTAATAAACTTTGTTAAGCCGAGCTTTTGAGCTCATTGACCATGAATGAAAATATATGATGTCTCATCCTGCACCATAGGCCAGAGGTGTCAGACTCACACAGTGTGATTGAGGCAGAATAAGTAATACACTACTACATAGCTAATGCTGGTTTGTGGTTTTCTAAGTCAGTCTGAGGCCCGCAGCTTGAGTTTGACATGATTGCTCTAGTCCATCACTTCTTTGTGATCATTGGCCATGGCATGAATCAGAGTTCAGAAGTCTTTGGAAAGGGTTTTCCTTTACATTACTATGGTCACAGTGTAAATTATTCTCCTGTTTCTGTTCATGGGACACTACTCACAATGTCAGAGTGGGGTATAAAGAAGGATTTGGGGGGGGGGAGCGCACCAAATCAAGAAATAATTAAGAAATCCAAGCTACAGTGAGTGTGTTTTGCCATCTCCACATCTACAGTCAGGAGCCTCCTGCCACTAGCGGAGAGACCCAGGCAGAAAAGCCCCACCCCACAGCCTTCCTGTACTTGGACCAGAGAGAGCTGGGGAGGCATGAAGCTGCGGTCCAAGCGCCAGCAGATGGAAGCCTAGACTGACCAGTGGCAGTTGGAGTGTTCCTGGTCCTCCCTCTGACCCCAGCCTGAGGTCAGGAGCCCTTAAGGCTCAGGAGGCAGTGATAGCAGTGATCAGAGCTCTCTGGCCCATGCCTCCCCGCTGCCTAGACTCCCTGCCACAGAGTGTTCCTGTCCTCCTTATTGCCCAGACCCCAGGTAATAGAAAGGACTGAACAAAGAAGGCCCTGACGGGTGCAGAGCCTGGCCCTGACGCAGAGTGTCTGCTCGGGAAGTTAGGCTGGAAAAGGAAGTCGTATAAGATGACAGGCACGATAAAGAAACCTGGTGGCTGGACCGTGGGATGCTTCAGTCACAACCTAGAAGAAGAGCATAACTCCTTGTCCTCTTTAAGCAAAGGGTCGAAAAAAGTCACAATTGGCCTCAAGCCCTGCCGGGTCATTCCTGGAAGAAATAAAGCAAGAGTTTAAAAAAGTCATCATATCAAGAAAATGAGAGCTAGAGAAAAGAGGAGTGGGAAGAATGCACAGCTTAGTCTTGGAAGTAAAAAACCTTCCTCCAGGATTAGACAGAAATCAGTGACTGCAGGCAGCACCCAGAATTGTTAGAACAAAATTGGAAGACTGAAGAAATGACAGAAAATGTAAAGTATCTCTCATAAGAAACATCTTACCTGGAAAAGAGATCTAGGAGAGACCACCCAAGAATCCCTTTTCTACCGGAAAGTCTTAAGTATAAATAATAGCCAGTATACCATAATTTAACTAATAAACGAGAGGGCAAAGTGAAAATAGAAACCCCAAAATGGAAATTCCTGGGAATGTCAGAGCCAAAATCCAGAGCTTCTAGCTTGTGATAGGAGCAGAATTCCTGATTCCCATCAAGAGGAATTAATTTTCCTTAAAAGGCAGGAAGCTCTCTATGGGATTTGATTGGCTCCTGCCTCCGGCAGCTTCCTGGTCACTCAAGGGTGATTAGGTTGTGATCACCACATGGCGTTGGGCCCCTCAGACTCGGTGGATGTCTGAAGCCCTCTTAAGTCACCATCCACTGCCCTGCTGTGACCAGGGGAGGAGGCTGCCTCACATCCAGAGAACCTAAATGTCATCGTATCCTTGCTGTGTTATGACAAAGTAAACCTCCTCTTGCCAGCTGGCTTTCAGGCACCTCATTTCATCCTGTTAGTGTACCTTTGCTAACAGGGCCTGATGTTAGGGCAGAGAAAAGAGACCACTAGTAATACCAGTTGTCAGAAAGAAAGAATTCTGGTACTAAGCAGCCACAGTCTTAATGTCTAGTGGGGTCATCCAGGGCCCTGTAGATAAGGCAGAGGGTGTGGAAGGGGTTTGGTTATATTCTAAAGATCTTAAGGGGGAAAAAAAAGGCAGGGATTCTCCAGGGATGAAAAAAGGGAGGAAGGGGGTGGAATTGACTATTTCCATTAGTCTGGGTGTGTAAGAAGATCAAACCAGCATGGATAGGGTTGGGGCAGGGAATGGGCTACTCACCAACCTCTCACTTTGACCTCGTCTGGATAAAGGAGCATTTTATTTTAGCACCCATAACTGGGAGTCAAAATACATTCAATTCAGTGGAGAATGGTGAAGAGACAGGGGGAGGGAAAAACAGCTTTGAGAGGGAAGATGAATTCCAGGAAGAAACTGAACTAAAAACCCCCTCCGTTTTCAGAGGGTGGAGCATGAGGGGTGAATAAAAAGAGAAAGAAAGGGTAAAATCCTGTGGTTAGGCAAGAGGCCAGAAGTAGTACAACTGAAGCAGATTGCAACCAATCATAATACCTGGCAAGTAGGTGCTTAATAAATGCTTTTTGACTGAAGCCCACTCCTATCTTTATATAGCTTCTTTGTAAAGAGATTTGTAGGGGCAAAGGGTGGGAGGAAGAGTATAAAAGAAGAGGATGGAGAGAAATGCAGTTAATAATACGCAGTTAATAATCCTAAGTGGGAAGGGGGTGAACTCTGCTCTGTAACCAAGGAGGGTGAATCAGAAAGCAGTCTGCCTTGGTGGCTCTTCCCACTGCCTAGCTTTGGCTCTGTTTTCTTCCTTTCGTATCTCTTTCTCCAACCCCTCACCCTCTGGTTCTTTCTTCTCATCTCTTCTGCTTTCTCTCCCTCTCCCCTTCTTTTCCCTGTCTGTCTCCTGCCATCTTCTGCTGCAAACCCGTTTCTGAGAGCTGCTGATGGGTGATGCAGCAGCATTGTTCTCAGGCACAGTTGGCTGGGCTTGGGCTGCACGTTTGTGGGGCTCCTTTCAAGTGTGGAGAGACTGGCAGAGCAGGTTGTCCTAGCAGAGGGTCATTGGAAAGACCCAGGATTGTTCAGCACA